AGTAGTAGCAGTAGCAGGGTGACTAATGGAAATGAGGATATGGAAGTAGAAATTGCCACATCTGAGGTGGAAGTCAAACTCAAACAGATTCATGGAACTAAACTGGGGGGCCCAGATAATCGCCATCCAAGAATATTTAAGCAACTGGCACACAAAATTACAAACCCAATAGCAAGAATTTTTAATGAATCTGTAAACTTGGGGGTCGGACCCTGTGACTGCAGTACCTAGTTTTAAGAAAGGGGGAAAATGTGACCAGGAAACTACTGGCCTGTTAGTTTGGCCTCAGTTGTATGCAAGGTTTCAGAACAAATTTTGGAAGAGAAAGTAGCTAAGGACATAGCCTAAATGGCAATTGGGATAAAATACAACATGGTTTTACAAAAGGTAGATCATGCCAGACCAACCTGATCACCAAGAAGATAACGGATTTTTTTTTCGACAAAGGAAATGCAATAGTTTTAATCTATCTGGATTTCAGTAAATTTTCACCTGGGAAATTATTAGTTAAACTGGAGAAGATGGGGATTAATATGAAAATTGAAAGATGGATAAGGAACTAGCTAAACAGGGAATTATAACAGGTCATACAGAAAGGTGAACTGTCAGGCTGGAGTGGAGCTCTTCAGGGATTGGTCTTGGGAACAATCTTATTTAACATTTTTATAATAACCTTGGCACAAAAAATGGGTGTGTGCTAATAAAATTTGCAGATGACACAAAGTTCAGAGAACTTGCCAATATGGAGGATGACCAGAATATCATACAAGAAGATCTGGATGACCTTGAATACTGGAGTAATAGAAATGGGATGAAATTTAACAGGGGAAAGTACAAGGTCATGGCACTTGGGACTAACAAGAATTTTTGCTATAAACTGGGCACTTATCAATTGGAAGCGACAGAGGAGGAGAAAGACCTGGGTGTACTGGTTGATCACAGGATGACTATAAGCCACCAGTGCAATGTGGCCGTGTAAAAGGCTAATGCAGTCCTAGGATGCATCAGGCAAAATATTTCCAGTAGAGACAGGGAAGTGTTAGTACCATTATACAAAGCACTGAGACATCATCTAGAATACTGTGTGCAATTCTGGTCTCCGGTGTTTAAGAAAGATGAATTCAAACTGGAACAGGTACAGAGAAGAGTTACTAGGATGATCAGAGAAATTGAAAATCTACCTTATGAGATGAGACTCAAAGACCTTGACTTGTTTAGCCTAACCAAAAGAAGGCTGAGGGGAGATATAGTTGCTCTCTCTAAATACATCAGAGGGATAAATACCAGGGAGAGAAAGGAGTTATTTAAGTTAAGTGCCAATGTTGACACAAGAACAAATGGATATAAACTGGCCATCAACAAGTTTAGGCTTGAAATTAGATGAACATTTCTAACCATCAGAGGAGTGAACTTCTGGGACAGGCTTCCACAGGGATCAGTGGGGGCAAAAAACCTAACTGCCTTCCTCTGCATCATGGGACACAGATCACTTGCAGGTTTAAACTAATGTAACTGGTGGATTCTCTGTAACTTGAAGTCTTTGAATCATGATTTGAGGATTTCAGTAAATTAACCAGATGTTCTGAGTCTACTACAGGAGTGGGTGCGTGAGGTTCTGTGGCCTGCAGCGTGCAGGAGGTCAAATTAGATTAATGTGAAGGTCCCTTCTGGCCTAAATCCATGAAAGATGTTTTTTTCATTCAGTCCTGCTTGGTTTCTAGAACTCCTGATTTTGTTAAATATTTGTTGTTTCTCAACCCTGGGGTGTAACCTAGAGGACTCAAGCTTGCAATGCACTTTTGAGCCATTTCCCATGGATTGTGAAATATTTGACATAACAGATTATGCTCTTAACTTTCTATCTTTTTACACATAGTACCTTATTTGCAACCTAGCAGATGTAACTCAGATGCAGAAGTCTTAATTTTTTGAATCAACTGACTTGTTAATTGAAGATCTCAAGATTAATGTAATTTTTCTGCATTTAACAAATATGAATGTCAGAAACCCCTAACTAGTCAGAAAGCTCCAATGGTACACAGCATTTTAAAAGCTGTTTTCTTTCCAGGAGGAGGAATCCAGCTGTCTGAAGTGTTTTGAGATATGGGGATCTAGTATTATTGAACCCAGAGGGGAGAGCTGGTGAGGCAGAGGGATTTCCTGGAGAACCCATTAGCTAATTACTACCAAAATGGAACTAAAACAATATGCTTCAGGAAGGGCAATAGCACCTTGACTATCCAGACCCAACAAGAGAGTTACTTGGCCCCACAGTGCTGTCACCAAGACATATGGCTACATGGCCATAACTCTGCATCATAGCACACAGATAATTCTGTAAGCAATATGATGTAATAAACAGCTAATATCACTGGTGTATTTTACTCTACTAGGGAAGGAATACTGCTATTCAAGTCTCATCTCCAGAAATAGTTATTGGAAAGATTCATCCATCCAGAATCCTGTGCTCAAACATCTGACCCACATGGAAAAGCCAGTCACGGCATGAGAGCAGAGACAGTCCCACAGACAGGAGAGAAACGAACCTCAGGAAACAGTTGCAACTGCTACCAAAAAAAAAAAAAAAAAAAAAGCACTCAAGATAAGGGCAGCGCCACGTGAAACACTCCCGTTGCACACCCACATACACCGACCTAGCTGTGCCTGTGCCTATACTTAAAATTTTGTTCCCACCAGTGTAACTGCTCCACTATGACAACTTAACACCACCTCTCCAACCAGCGTAGAGTCAAGATTGCCGTACACAGGCTACCAGCATATAGACCCAGGTGCCACAGACACCAGCAGCAGCTGCCTCGGTTATCCTCAGGAGTGAGATATTAGCTAAAATCACCACTGGGGGTGGAAAATGGTGCTAGTATTCAGTTCCATTGCCCTATACAAGCCCACCCCATCCCTCCTGAGAGCCATACTCACCATGGCTGGTGCTGTGACTGGTGCAGGGCTGTATCAATCCCAAGGAAAAGTGAGAATGCAGTGCTTACACCTTGTGGGGATCAAGGGGAGTGAGTTCAGTATCCTACAGTTTGATTTCCGTTGTGAATACACTGAAAATGGTACCCCGTGTGTTGTGTCTGCAGCTACTGGTATTGTGGCCTTCAGAGGTTTTGTTTACACTGGAACTTCGTCGACAAAACTTTTGTCGTTCAGGGGTGTTAAAAAACAACATTTCCCCAAACGACAAAAGTTTTACCAATGAGAAGTGCCAGTGTTAACAGCTCTTTGTTGGCAGGAGAGCGACAAAACTGCTGCCGCTTATGGAGAATGGAAGTTTTTTGGTTGCCAGGAGAGCTTTCTCCTGCCGACAAACAGCAGCTACACTTTGCGGCTTTTAGCAGCATGGCTGTAGCAGCACAACCATGTCGCTAAAAGCGAGGTAGCGTACACAAAGCCAGAGTCTTCCCCTCCACACCTACAGAACATCTAAGCCAGATAAGGAGGAAAAAGAAGAGGACTCAGGATGACATGTTCCAGAAGATGCTGCAAGTCTGTGCTGCATCAGAGAACGAGACCAAGGCCTGGAGGATGACCGCATGGAGAAGGAAAGAGTGGAGAGGAGGAAGGCCCAGGAGTCCAAGCAGGACAAGGAAAGGGAGATGCATCGGGACATAATGGGGCTTCCCAGGCAGCAAACAAATGCTGCAGACTCTGGTAGACCTGCAGGTCCAAGAATCCCAGGCTTGCCTCCATCTGCAACCAATAGACAACTCAATGTTGGGACCTCCTTACACCACCCCTCAACATTCCACATGGCATCAGGGAACCTGCATTACCCCCTACCAATCCAATCTGCGGGAATTTAAAGAGAATCACAGCCGCACATACACCAAACTGTGAAAGACACGGTTGGTGTATGTGTACCTGACTGTTCATAAGTTATAGAACTTAATAAATTAAGGGAACACAAAGCTCTAATTTTTTTCCCCCGGTTCATGTTGCAAAATAAAATTCTGTTTTCTGGAACATAAAATCAACTTTTTGAGTTCACAAAATATGCTGGCTGGTGCAGAACATGTCTGACACCCACCAATTTCCTATTACTTCATTTTGTCACAGAACCCACACCATCATTCTCAGACAATATTAATATGTGCATTGGCAATGTTATATTCTTACACATACAGAACTCACTACAAGATTCATACTGGGCTGCAAAAGAGCAAGGCCAGGTAGAGCAACACACACTACCTTGGCCCCCATTAAAATGGTCTTTCAAAGCCTCCCTGAGCCACACAACTCCGTGCTGAGCTCTTCTTATAACCCTTGTATCTGGCTGTTCAAATTCAGCAGATAGCCATTCACTTCACCTCCACCCTGGGGTAAACTTTTCCCCCTTTGCTTCACAGATATTATGCAGCACACAGCTGGAAGCTATAAGCATTGGGATTTTTTTTTCCCCCACTGAGGTCTAATCTTGTAAGTAGACAATGCCTGCGACCCTTCAAACGACTAAAGGTACATTCAACTGTCATTCTGCAGCTGCTGAGCCTGAAGCTGAAGTGCTCCTAGGCGCTGTCGAGGTGGCTGTTATATGGTTTCATGAGCCATGTTAGCAAAGGGTAGGCTGGGTCCCCAGGATCATTATTGGCATTTTAACATTCCCAGTGGTAGTCTGCTGGTGGGGAAAGTAAGTCCTTGCTTGGAGATTTCTGAACAGTCCTGTGTTCTTAAAGATGTGCGTTTCCCACACTTCACTTCCCCATCAGTTGTCTCCTGTTACAGGCACCTAACTAGAAATACTGCACATTTCCCATGATGGAGAGCAGAGGAAATTGCTTGTGATTATGTCTAACAGTCTGCGACTGACCAATGACCGAGCCAACAAGTGCTGAGTGTGGCTAACTCCCACTCCACTTCCAGTCCAGGATTGACAACATAAGGCTGTAACTCCTCAGGAATGTGAACACATGTATAAAAATAAAAGTCTCCCTCCTCCCAGTGGGGCCAGAGTGCTCAAGATATCACAGGACAACTCCTACTCACTGGAAACAAAATTCTATTTTGAGAAGGCAGAAGAAAAAGGGAGAGCTGGCAGAGAGAAAGGAAGACAGGGAAACCCATAAGCACAAGGTTTGGGAGTCCTGAGATGTCATCCTGGCTCTATCATTGACTTGCTTTCTGGTCCTGGGCAAGTCATATAATTCACTTCATTCTCCAGCAGTAAAAATGGTGATAATTAATTATCTACTGCACAGAGGTGATGTGGGGATTCATGCTTCTACTATGCTTTGAACACAAAGTGTCAAATATTATCAACTCCTCTAAAAGTTTGTGGTCTGTTCTGTCCTCAATTGCAGAAATCCATGCATGAACTCAAGGCTCATATAGTAACACCACATCATATAACTGCCCATATAATCTAGTACGACACCTACAATACTGGATGAGACCACTTGGGGCTTATGAAATCCATTTTATTATTGTGGATTTTGGGATTTATTATTTTTGGATTTCATTTTTTTCCATTAAAAAAATTCTATCTTTATGTTTTTAATTAAAATTGTTTGCTACATTATTAAGTAGCCTTATTATAAATGTATAGAAATTTTCAGTATTAGATTGCAATGGGGAAAATGGATTTTACAAAAAAAACCCTACAATTTAAACAAAACATCCTGCAGATATACACTACACAGTAAAAGTAACATTTTAAATCACTTTTTAAAGTAGCAGTCATATGACCACTTACATTGCTGTACAGTAACACAAGAAGTACACAGAAGTAAGAGCCTGTAACAGTGTCAATTTAACTAAAATCATATTTGATTAAAAAATAAAAATAATGCACTAAACATAAAATAATCCATCCTTGCAGCAGTCATTGCTGCCATTCTAACTTAAACTTGCTACTTTCAAGCTCCTATATTCTGAAAGAATGCTGAAATTAATTTCAAATTGGATTAAATAATTTCACAGTCAACTGTTTATTGGTGAGTAGCATTATAAATTGACAAACTTAAATAACATTTTTGCCATCTCCAGCAGACATCTCCATTGTGGTACATTATGGTTATCCTTTTAGTGTTTGCCTCAGAAAGTGATTCCTTCTTGTCTGTAAGTAGATTTTTATATTTACTATAGTTTCTAGCTGCGTCTAGAGAGCTGACAGGGAGGAAGATCTAAGGTAGGGCAACCTCTGCTACTCTAGGCACTTGTGCTTACTGGAAGGCTATGAAGGAACAAAGATCCAGTGGATCTGGGATGTGCTCATTCTGAGTGTTGCGCAGAAACACAAGCCACTGGTTCATACAGTTCTGATGAGGAGTGGGCAAAAGGTGGTAGCTTGCTGTACTGATCAATGTTGTGTTGCGTGGCTGGAATCTGCCTGTCAATACACGTCTTTTGCTGGATGGACATCTCAGTGTTTGGAATTTGTTAAAAGCAAGCTGATAGGTTTCATCCATATTGTCCAGGGTATTTTTCTTCTCTCTTATGGAGAAGTCATCCAAGAGTCTTTCAGTTTCTTCACCAAACCCCCAAGTTTTGTCTGTTCCAGAAAGCAAGTGAAACCCCATGTCCTCCATAATATTGAAAGCTGAAACAGCTGTAGGGCAGTGGGTACCATCAAAGATGGTCAGGGGTGTTATCAGTTTGGGGAAAGCTTCAGATATGAAAGCTGTCTTAAGTGTCAGCAAGTCTGATTTCTCCTGACTGCTAAGTAATGCCAAAAGGTTTGTCACAGCCTGTGCTAATGACTTCTTTTTTCAAAAATGTCCTTGTAGAGATCAGTGTGATCTGCATGATATTTTACTGCTTGAAACCAGCTATTTCATCTTATATGTACTGCTTCAGGGGGACCTTCGTGGTGTGCACATCACCTTTGGACTTAAGAAAAGCAACCCATCTTCATTTTCTGGATGACTTTTTGAAGAAGGCAGATTTCATCCAAGTAATGAAAGATGCCACATCGCTAAAGAAGTGACAATGCAGCCACATCTCACTTATCAGACTGATTATCTATCTGACACAGACATGTCACATGTATACTGTTGGGCATGACACATTTCAGTGCTTCTCTGTATGCTTTGATGCAGTATGCTGCCTTGTCAGTTACAACTGCCCAAACATTAGTGTGGTGAACTGGTTCCTAATCATTGACACCAGAACAGCCTGTGAGAATGTGGAGTGTTGCAGCTCTCCATGACTATAACATCAGTCAAATAGTACTGACCTTCAACACCTGAAAAAAAAAAAAATACATTCTGTGGTCATAATTTTTCGACTTGTTTGTCAGTGGAGGAGTTCATTAAACAAACTTAAAATTCAGTAATGGAAAAAAAATCCAGCTTCAAAATCATAGTATCATTTAATGTTAAAAAGATTTTTTTAAAAATAAATATTACAGGTGCATTGCAATACAGAATTTAATTTCCTCATGCATATTAAATATGAAGTGCTTGATAAAATTAAATAAGTATTTTTTATAGAATAGCTCAAATTCTAATGTGGTACTTTTTTTTTTTTTAAGGACTATTTTAAGGGGTCATAGCATCGTAAACGTTTTTTTCTTAAATTATCTGTACTTTAAATCACAGAAGTGATTAGTCTTTTCTAAATATAAAAGATTTTCCTAAAGGTCAATACACACATTATAAAAAAGCATCTACTCAAGTATCTATCATAGTAAAATAAAATAAAAAACATATACCTATGACTATATTTAGCACACTGCACTCTCAGATATTTGTCGTCTCGTCGATCACCAAGGAAATCTTTTCCCCATGGATTTTGGCCAGCAATGCCACCATGTGCTCCTGATAAACACACAGCAGGTTAAACTGCCAATGTGCCGCTTCATTTTCAGACAATTCCCACTCCCCGATCCCTCCGGCAGTGTTTTAAGAGGAAACATGGAAGCGTCGTCATTTTTTCCAATGAGATATCAGCCTCAGCACAGACCACAACAAAATCTTCAACAAACTCCCCTCTGGCATCTGCAGATTTCATACTGTCTGCAATTGTTCTCTGTAGAGAGTGAGAATCTCAATGATTCTAGTCATATGTGGCTCGATTCTTCAGATGGTTTTTTGACATTAGATGATCGTTGCAGGTATCTTTTCAGGTCCAGTCTATTGTATGTTGACCGCATTTTCAGATCATCATACTGCCCGATTCATAGATGTCATTAGGGAAACTGACTAGCTCTTCCCTTTGGTGTCAGCATAATGTTTCTTAGCTTTTTGGATGAGCATTTTCCAGTTGTAGAATGCCTTTTAGACATGCTAAATCGTGTACTGAACCATGGGGGGGGGAACCGCACTAGTAGTAGTGGGCCACGTGTCTAAGCAACAGTCAGTTAACCTACGGTGGTGGTGAAATGTGAAAAAGCATTCTCATTGTGTGTACACACGAGTCTTTGAAAATTCCCACACGGTACAAAATTTGTGCAAGTAGGTTTCATCAAGCTTCATTTTCTACTGCCAAGCATCTATTTTTTATATAATGCCAGATTTTTATTTATTTATTTTTTAAAAACACACAGCACGCTGGAGTCTGTTATTGTTTTGATTCCGCCCACGTTCACATTAACGCAGATTTCACAGGGCCCTAGCCACTGGCTCATTCAGTTGCCTTTAGGATCTCAGCTTTGACTATGTCCAGTACCTGACACTTTAGAGTAAGGTGCCCATTTAATGCATATATATTTTGATGTAGGCAACCTCTCCTCAAGGAGTGATGAGGCAACAAAGCAGTGCCATGGTCCCAGGAGCAGAAAGGGGACACGATAATGAGACTGTGCATTGCCTGTTCACACTTTAGTACAGGGGTAGTGAATAGGTGGACCGTGGGCCAATCCAAACCACCAGATACTTTTGAATGGCCCATGAAATCTTTTTTATTTAGTTATTATTGTCATTATTGTTATTGCAGTATGAAAAAAGCTCTCTCTGGAGACTGGACCTTGGATATACCTTGGTCAAGAAATTCGGACTTTGATAAAAAATAATTGACTATCTCTGCTCTAGTGCAACAATCCTCTGCCCTGCAAAACTGGAGAGCCACCATAACAGTGAACAAAACAGCCAGCCAACTGCAGAGTTTGAGTGTTGACTTAACACTCCACTGCAAATTTTGTGTTCCAGTGTGTTTGTCATGTATCAATACAAACATGCTTGCTAAGTAATGATGGTATAAGATGGGTGAACCTTACTATATGGTGAGTGCACAAGTGCACTTACTCCTGCCTCAGTGCAGAGAACTGGAATAGGTGACCTACTGAAGTCCCTTTCAGTCCTACATTTTTAGGATTGTTTAATGTCTTGGCTGGCTGCAAATTCATTCAGCACAGTCTGTCTTTTCCAACCACTCCCCCTCAGGGTTACTAGGAAAAAGCCTGGAGTAAGTCTCCTCTTCCTTCAATTTCCATGTTCTAAGTGCTTGGACTCATAGGATGAGGTCCTAGCATCAACAGTTTATTCTTTCAATTTCACTGTACTACTGTGTATGTATCAGGCAATGTGGCAAGCACTCCTGGGATGAGCATTCTGTTCACTCTGCCCAAGATTAGTATAATCCCAGAAATATGGGCTCCATAAGAGCCATAGGCTGAGGATCACTTTAATGACTGCATATGGCACAGATTTACACCAAGGTGAGGACATTTATTAGAATATTCCAGGTCAGCCAAGTCACCTGGCAGGCAAACAGCTCACTAATGGAAGAAGGGCTCAGAAGATAAAACTCTTCCTTCCTCAAGAACTGTTTATAGTAGCTTTATGAAACTAACTTCACAGAGGCATGGAGAGTTCAGGAGGAGTGCAGGGAATACAAAAAGTTACAGCTTGTTAGCCTGGTTAATAACCTCTTTTCTGAAAAACACACCATGCTGCAGTACAGATGACCACCTGCATAGAACTACATATGAAGTTAGGCTTGTGCCCTTTTAAAATTATGTATATAGCTGGCCTGAAAGATGGGTTTTTTTGCTTATGTTTTTCTCTGCTTAGCTTAGAATAATCAAAAATAATCAGGTCTCCCTGCTTTAGCTGGAGAACCCCTGAGAGGTTGCAAGGATGTTTATTGTGAGCTCTAACATAATAATTGATAGGGTGAAGGTGCTGCATCTTTGATATAGGCTTCCTTTAAACTAAAATGCTGGTCATCAAAATTAAATGGATGTTAAAAATACGTTAAATGGTCTGAATAAAAATCTCTTCTCCCTTGCTCAAGTGATGTCATTGTTCACTAGCTCTTCGGTTCTCAAAGACTGTCCTTGCCTAGATTTCTCATGAAAAATATCAGCAGAAAAACAACTTTCAGGCCTTCTTTATACAGCATAAAGATGCAAATCAGGGCAAAAATCCATTTCTCCCCCTTCTCACTTTGCAGATCACCTTCGCAGCAAATCGTGCAGTGAAGAGTAAAAGAATGGAGTGTTAGGATCAATCTTGGTTTTAATCTGGGTGGGCAATGTACACATTAACTTTTGCCAACACCTCTGTAGTTTATTATGACATAGAAGGATTTGAACTTCAGTCATTAGCTCCCTGCATTAGTTTTGTGTACAACCAGACCAAGCTGGAAAGTTGCGTGAAGGTGAAGAAAACCACCTCTGGAAACCAGAATCTGGCTTCTCTCCCTGCACCCTTCCCAGTCAGCCAAGGTCTCCTTTGCGGTGCCCCTACTCTACTTACACTACATTGATGACATCTTCATCATCTGGACCCATGGAAAAGAAGCCCTTGAGGAATTCCACCATGATTTCAACAATTTCCATCCCACTATCAACCTCAGCCTGGACCAGTCCACACAAGAGATCCACTTCCTGGACACCACGCTGCTAATAAGCGACTGTCACATAACCACCACCCTATACCAGAAACTTACCGACTGCTACACTTAACTACATGCCTCCAGCTTTCATCCAGACCACACCACACAATCCACTGTCTACAGCCAAGCTCTATGATACAACTGCATTTGCTCCAACCCCTCAGACAGAGACAAACACCTACAAGATCTCTATCAAGCATTCTTAGAACTACAATACCCACCTGCTGAAGTGAAGAAACAGATGGACAGAGCCAGAAGAGTACCCAGAAGTTACCTACTACAGGACAGGCCCAACAAAGAAAATAACAGAACGCCACTAGCCATCACCTTCAGCCCCCAACTAAAACCTCTCCAATGCATCATCAAGGATCCACAACCTATCCTGAAGGACGACCCATCACTCTCACAGATCTTGGAAGACAGGCCAGTCCTTGCTTCCAGACAGCTCCCGCAACCTGAAGCAAATACTCACCAGCAACCACACACCACACAACAGAACCACTAACCCAGGAACCTATCCTTGCCATAAAGCCCGTTGCCAACCGTGTCCACATATCTATTCAGGGAACACCATCATTGGGTCTAATCACATCAGCCACGCTATCAGAGGCTCGTTCACCTGTGCATCTACCAATGATATGTGCCATCATGTGCCAGCAATGCCCCTCTGCCATGTACATTGGTCAAACTGGACAGTCTCTACGTAAAAGAATAAATGGACACAAATCAGACGTCAAGAATTATAACATTCAAAAACCAGTTGGAGAACACTTCAATCTCTTTGGTCATGCGATTACAGACCTAAAGGTTGCAATTCTTCAATAAAAAAACTTCAAAAACAGACTCCAACAAGAGACTGCTGAATTGGAATTAATTTGCAAACTGGATACAATTAACTGAGGCTTGAATAAAGACTGGGAGTGGATGGGTCATTACACAAAGTAAAACTATTTCCCCATGTTTATTCCTCTCCCTTCCCAGAGTGTTCCTCAGATGTTCTTGTCAACTGCTGGAAATAGCCCACCTAGATTATCACTACAAAAGGTCTGCCCCCCTCCCGCCCGCTCTCCTGCTGGTAATAGCTCACCTTACCTGATCACTCTGGTTACAGATTTCAGAGTAACAGCCGTGTTAGTCTGTATTCGCAAAAAGAAAAGGAGTACTTGTGGCACCTTAGAGACTAACCAATTTATTTGAGCATAAGCTCACGAAAGCTTATGCTCAAATAAATTGGTTAGTCTCTAAGGTGCCACAAGTACTCCTTCACTCTGGTTATAGTGTGTATGGTAACACCCATTGTTTCATGTTCTCTATGTATATAAATCTCCCCACTGTATTTTCCACTGAATGCACCTGATGAAGTGGGCTGTAGCTCACAAAAGCTTATGCTCAAATAAACTGGTTAGTCTCTAATGTGCCACAAGTCCTCCTTTTCTTTTTGAGGATACAGATTAACATGGCTGCTACTCTGAAATTTGTGGTACCGTCTCGTTTCCCCAGGTTGGGATCCTATTTCCCACTCTTGCCAAAATCAGCTACAGCATTAGCACCCCCGTCTCCCAGGGAGAGTCAGTCTCCCAGTCCGCAGGCTTTCCTCTTTCTTAATCCCATCCCCCAAGATTAGGAGATTCTGCCCTCTTTGCTTCTAACCCAGCTCCAAAGCACAGGACAAGCGGACACCCCCCCTCCCATCCCGGGTAGGAGTGTAGCTGGGCTTTCCCCCTCCCTCGCCCCCCCCCCCCGGTCAGGGAACTCCAGCCGCGCTGCTGCTAAAGGGCGCGGCCGGCCAGGAGCCCTCCACGTGCCGCATGACCCCCGCTCCCGGCAGCAGGGTCCCGCACTCAGCGCCCGGGGCGAGCAGTCCTCAGCGCCGGCTCCGCCACGGGGCCCCCGGGACCGGCCCCGAACCGCCGCGTGCCTCAGTTTCCCCCTCTGTCAAACAGGGACGCGCACCCCGCCCCGGGGAGGGGGGAGAGTGGGGCGGACCTGGCAGCTGCGTCTGCACCCCCAGCAGTGGGGCTGGGCCCGTGGGCTCCCCGCCACACGCACCCCGCTCGGTCCCGCCGGTACCTTCTCCGCCTGGGCCAGGTAGAGCCAGAGCCGCCGCCACGTGCCGAACTTCTTCCGCTCGCTGAAGTTGAAGCCCATCTCGGGGCTGGCGTAGCGCGACACCAGCGGCGAGCGGTAGCGGCCGAACGGGTCCTCCTCCGCGCCGGGCGCCGCCATGGCCCAGCCGCGACTCCCCCGCGGCCCGCGAGCGACAGGACACCTCAGCGGGCGTCGCACGCGCCGGCCGCACGTCGGACTCGCAGAAGCGCTCAAGAGCCCCCGCCCCGCCAAGTGTGGAATGCGGCAGGAGGTCAGGACGGAAGAAAGGGGAGGGCAGAGCGTGGCCGCGCGAGCGTCGTAAAACAGCCTCGTCCTCCTCCGAGCGTGAAATACGGCAGAAGGTCAGTGCGGCGCCGCGCCCCCAACCCGGGGGCGGTGCGTCCTATTTTACGAACCAGGCGGACCGGCTGAGGGTCGGTCCAGGTGCGCGGCCGGAGAGGGGCGACAGGCCGCGCTACCGGCTCCGAGGTGGGCTGCCTCTGCTCCCTATAGCCTTCCCTGGAGTCTCCTGCTGGGCTTTGCCCGCCCCCAGCAGCGGCTCCTCTGCCTGCCTGGGAGCAGCTACCACCGAGGGGTCCGGCCCCACTGCGGCTTGTCTACATGGGGGCGGGGGGAGTGGCGGCGTTAATCCAGTTTCCAGGTCCTCTCACTTCGTCTCCTGTTACTGCTCGCTCACATCCTCCTCCCTGCTGCTCTGTTCAGCACGGAGGGCTTCAGGGCACCCCCTCATTGCTGAGCTAGATGTGCCCGTTCCTCCGCTTTACCCAGTCAGTGCACACTGGGTGGCTGCAGCTTATGCATCTTGAGCTAAATGGCCCAAGGCCTCGAGCTTTCGGAGCAATGTTAGAAAACAACTAGACAGCGAACCAGTTCTCCCTTTCCCCAGCTGGCGCTTTACGCCCAGTCACGCTAACGTGGACAACCTCGAACAATCACATCTTAACATTTAATGCCATTCACATTCATCCCTCCAACCCTGTGAGTTGAAGGAT